ATCAGAAGGTGGCACCGGATCCCTTGGATTACAAATCCAAGGGTGTGACCCAACATGTGGGTGCTAGTAATTGAACCTGGGTCCTCTGCAAGAACAAGTGCTCTAAACCGTTTAGCCATCTCTCCAGCCCACATCCTCTTTTAAGACAGGTTCTCACTATGTAGTCCTGATTAGCCTGGAACTCACTATGGACCAGGCTGGTCTCGAACTCACAGAGATCTGCCATGGTACACCTGTATATGCTCTTGTGCGTGCTCTCTCTCTCTCTCTCTCTCTCTCTCTCTCACACACACACACACACACACACACACACACACACACACCACCACCACCAACAACAACAACAACAATAACAACACATAGTACATAAACAAATAAATGTAATGAAAATAAAATAAACAGACCAAGTTGAAGGGGCTATGAAATCATATTCTCAACTTCCAAAGCAGAGATCTGAAAATGAAAAAAAAAATACTGGGAATAACTCAGAAGTAGAGTTTATGTAAGGCCCTGAGTTCAATCCCCAGCTCCACTTAAATAAATAGAACTAAGTAAAATATAACTTTTCCAACTTAATGTTTTTAAAAGTGTCTTTTCTTAAGCCCTAGAGGATCTTTTAGAAACTCTCTTGTGCTGGAATGTGGCTCAGTTAACAAAAGTTGACCCTGCTGAGCTCGCAGGGGGTCCTGGATTCCAGTCCCAGTGTTGCATTATTTCCGAGTAGTGATATGTGCCTGTAGCCCCGGCACTGGGGAGGTGGAGGCAAGAGGATCAGAAGTTCAAAGTCATCCTCATCTACATGGTGAGTTAGTGGCCAGCCTAGGCTACACAAAACCATGTTCCAGAAAGAAAGAACAAGAAAGTAAAACACAAAAGGGTAAAGAAAAGTCTCCCTGAACGAAGAAGACACCACTCTTTAGTTTACTTTCTTTTAGTTTTATGGAATGCTAGTAAATCTCAAATTGTAATGCTGTTCCTTCAAAAATCTTGCCTTGTGAGGCTGGAGAGATGCTGAGGAGTTAGAGCACTGGCTGCCCTTCTAAAGGACCTGGGTTGGATTCCAGGCACCCACATGAGGGCTTCCAACCGCCTGTGACTCCGGTTCCAAAGGATCTGATGCCTCTTTTGGCCTCTGTGTGCACTGCATACATGTGGTGTACAGACATCCATGTGAGCAAAAGACCTATACACAATTTAAATTTTTTTAAAAGTTTTATGTGCATTGGTGTTTTCCCTGCATGAATGTCTGAGTGAGGGTGTCCCTTGGAACTGAGGTTACAGACAGCCTTGTGGGTGCTGGGAATTGGAGCTCTGGAAGAACAGCCAGTGCTCTTAACCACTGAGCCATCTCTCCAGCCCCCTAAATAATTAAAAATATATATTTTTAAGGTTAAAAAAAATAATGTCTCAATTGAAGTGTCAGTATATACTCAGGAGGAAACAGATCCACTGACAGCAAGCCAGACATCCGAGGCACGTGAACTTCACGGCTGTGTCTGGCTGGTGGGACGTGAGATGCTTTGCAATTGGTATCTGATCTGGGGACAGAAACCACTCACTTAAACAAAGTTCTTAACAGAGGCAGATGCAAGTGACCGCAGTAGGATATTACATTTTCATGGAGGTGGCAACTATAGGTAACACATATAGGTGTATATGTGTGTATATTTGTGTGGTGTGTGTGTGTGTGAGTGATGTGTGTGGTGTGTATATGTGTGTATATTTGTGTGGTGTGTATCTGTGTGGTGTGTATCTGTGGTGTGTGTGTGTGTGAGTGATGTGTGTGGTGTGTATATGTGTGGTGTGTGTGTGTGTGTGAGTGATGTGTGTGGTGTGTATATGTGTGTATATTTGTGTGGTGTGTGTGTATATGTGTGTGTATCTGTGTGGTGTGTGTGTGAGTGATGTGTGTGGTGTGTATCTGTGTGGTGTGTGTGTGAGTGATGTGTGTGGTGTGTATATGTGTGTATATTTGTGTGGTGTGTATCTGTGTGGTGTGTATCTGTGTGGTGTGTGTGTGTGTGAGTGATGTGTGTGGTGTGTATCTGTGTGGTGTGTATCTGTGGTGTGTGTGTGTGAGTGATGTGTGTGGTGTGTATCTGTGTGGTGTGTATCTGTGGTGTGTGTGTGTGAGTGATGTGTGTGGTGTGTATATGTGTGTATATTTGTGTGGTGTGTGTGTATATGTGTGTGTATCTGTGTGGTGTGTGTGTGAGTGATGTGTGTGGTGTGTATCTGTGTGGTGTGTGTGTGAGTGATGTGTGTGGTGTGTATATGTGTGTATATTTGTGTGGTGTGTATCTGTGTGGTGTGTATCTGTGTGGTGTGTGTGTGTGTGAGTGATGTGTGTGGTGTGTATCTGTGTGGTGTGTATCTGTGGTGTGTGTGTGTGAGTGATGTGTGTGGTGTGTATCTGTGTGGTGTGTATCTGTGGTGTGTGTGTGTGAGTGATGTGTGTGGTGTGTATCTGTGTGGTGTGTGTGAGTGAAGGCACCTGTGGGAAGCCCAGAGGACAACTGGCAGGAGGGAGCTGATTCTCTTGTTCCATAATGTAGGTCCTGGGAATCCTTGACCTGTTGAATCACCTTCCTGACCCATACTTTAATTTACAATATGATTTTATGTAAGGAATTGATTAAACCAGTGTTGATCTGAAACTCCAGGTGTGGTGGCGCATGGAAGGTTGAGGATTGCAAGTTCAAGGGCAGCCTGCGACACTATCTAAAATTAAAAACAGACAGACAGACAGATAAAGGTGCTAACCAAAAAGCCAGCTGTGGAGACCATAAAGACATAACTGCAGGAAACAACATCCACATTCAGGATTTAGTGAACAAAAAAAGAAAAGCCAGGGCCACTGGAACTTTAGGGTTGGGGGAACCACCCTGTAGAGTTGAACCCTCAGAGTTAGAGCTCTACGGCTAAGCTCATGTGTTGAACTTTGTCCCTAGCTGGGAGTGCTGTCTTAGGGGATGGGGCATAGAGGGGGCTGTTCCTCTGAGAGCTGTATCTGAGCCTCTGTTTCTGAATCGCTCTCCGCATCTTGTTTACCTTGAGGTATGACATTTCCTTCCCCTGCCCACCATGGTGACGGAGTGCCTGGGCAAGCAGATGTGACTGAGCCTCTGAAACTGTGAGCTGAGCAGTCAGCCTCGCCCCTCTCAAGTTATAGCAAGCGCTTTCTGTAGATGTAGCCGTCTTGTTAAATAAGAAACACAGAACCAATGCAGAGATGAAAGCCCAAGAGGTCAGAGTAATAGCTAAGCGCTAAAAACCTTACCCTTCACTGCTGCTGCTGTCCTCCTCAGCAAGAGACCTACTTCCTGTCTGTTTGTCCTTTTTATTGACTTTCTATTCTGCCTTCTCATTGGTTGTAAACTCAACCACATGACCTCCTCGTCACTGCCCATCTATACAGACCTCCAGGTCTTCTATGGTTGGTATTGAGATTAAAGGCATGCGTCTCCAATGCTGGCCGTATCCTTGAACACACAGAGATCTGCCTAGCTCTGCCTCCCAAGTGCTGGGATTAAAGGCGTGCGCCACCACCGCCCAGCTTCTGCTATGGCTTGCTATAGCTCTGACCTCTTGGGCTTTCATCTCTGCATTGGTTTTGTGTTTCTTATTTAACAAGATGGCTACATCTACATCTGGAGCACAACATTCGTGGTACGTATAGCCGCTGTGACTGAGCCTCTGAAATTGTGAGCTCAGCAGTCAGCCTCGCCCCTCTGCAATTATAGCAAGCGCTTTCTCACAACAAGAGAATAATACAGCACGTTACATGTAATAGATTCTGGCTGTTGGTGGGATGGTTCAGTGGGTAAAGGCACTTGCCACAGCCTGACAACCTGAGGTTGGTCCCCTGATTCCACAGTGGAGAGAACCAACTCTCTCATCTTGTCATTTGACCCTCACACACATCCTGTGGCGTGCCTTCAGACCCTCCAAACATAAATGTATCCTGTACACACATGAAATAGTAATAAGGACAAAACAAAAGTGATCAATAAAATAGAGCTTGTCAGTAGTCTCAGTGACGTTCCCTTTCCTTTAATCTTTTAGGGACCTCAACTTAGGCCAAACTGGGCTTGGTGGCTTTGATGCTGAAAAGAATGTCAGGATTAGTCAGCATGGAGAAGATTTAGATTTCTCTTTCGTTGTTTTTCTGTTGTTGTTGGTTTTTGTTTGTTTGTTTTTTGAGACAGGGTTTCTCTATGTAGACCTGGCTATTATGGAACTTGTTCTGTAGCCCAGGCTGGCCTCAAACTCACAGAAGTCCGCCTGCCTCTGCCTTCAGGGGACAGGGATCAAAGGTGTGCACCACCACACCTGGCTAGAGTTGGAGATTTTTATTCACGCTATCTTAATGTAGACGTGAAGTGTGGGAGTTAGGAGGAAAGAGGAGCTCAGAAAAACCTGATGACACACCCAAGGGTAGTGTGGGCTCCTCAGGAGAGAGTCCAGTTCATTAGCTTTGCTTTAGTTTCACAAGCCATTTTAGTGGCTTGACTCCAACCCTTTTGTTCATCCCTTTTCCTTTGCTGTTGTAAGTGGAATTACAGGACGCTCCAGAGCTGCCTTGGATGAAATTATACGCTGCTGAGGGGAAACCCGGAGCTGAGAGAGTAGCAAAGGGGTTGAGAGCTGTAGATTTACGGTTTGGAGGGATTACAGCCTGCAGCCGTTGATGCTGGGGAAGGGGCTCCTTCCCAGCTTCCTGTCCCCATAGTTTTCCGTCTTTGTATCCTGCCTTAATAATATTACTATGAGCCGGGCGTTGGTGGCGCATGTCTTTAATCACAGCACAGGGAGGCAGAGCCAGCTCTATGAATTCGAGGCCAGCCTGGTTTACAAAGCAAGTTCCAGGACAGCCAAAGCTACACAGAGAAACCCTATATTGGGGTGGGGGGAAGCAAAACAAATTACTATGAGATATATGAAACAGTTTCACTTCCAAGTAGGAATATTATCAGGATTTTTTTTTATTATTTTTTTAGGTGGTGATAGCGGACTGGATGGCTTAGGAGGACCAAATATACAACTAGGAAGCCCAGATAAGAAAAAACGCAAGGCCAGCACACAGGTAAATTAACTGTTTTTTCTTTTAAAATTATTTTTATTTTTAATTTATTTTTAAGATCTGTTTTGTTTGTTTTTAATTGTGCGTCTATGTGCATGTGAGGGCAGGTTCCCAGGGAGGCCAGAAGAGGGCATCCTATCTCCCAGAGGTGGAGTGACAGGCAGCTGTGAGCTACCTGAAATGTGTGCTGGGAACTGAACTCAGGTCCTCTGGAAGAGCAGTAAGTGCTCTTCACCACCGAGCGGTCTCTCCAGCCCCAATGTTTTTAGTAACAATTTTCACTTGTTGGTATGATCACATGGCTAAGTGAATTGTTACATTTAGCCCCGTGCTTTGCTTCCTGTCTGCTTCAGAGCCTAACAGGGGTGTGAACTCAGTGTGCTGTGTGTTAGTCTAGCCTGTAGTTCTATTGAAGGATTTTCAAACAATTTTAACTTGAAGTAATTGCTCTGTTGTTATAGCAATCAATATTGTGTAGTATCATAGTGGGAGTACCCTTTGCTGTAACTTGTGATTGTAATAAAAAATATACATATAGGATTTTATGGTTTTCGATTTATTTGTTTATTCATGTTTTTGTTTATGTGTGTATGAGTGTTTGCCTGTGTGTATGTCTGTGCACCATGTGCATGCAGTACCCCTGGAGACCAGAAGAGGGCACTGGATCACCTGGAACTGGAGTTACAGAGGGTTGTGAGTGCCATGTGGGTGCTGGGAACTAAACCCCAGTCCTCTGCCAGACCAGCAAGTGCTGTTACCACAGAGCCATCTCTCCAGCCCTGCCTTATGGTTTTATTTGCTATACACTGAAGCACTCTTCTGGTGATAATGAGTTTCTTTGATATGAATCTAAGTTACATTTTGTTTCCATTTTGGTCACTGTCTGTTAAATCTGAAGTGTAACCATTATTTTTCTATTAAGAGATGTAGAGATTAGATCTTTGAGAATGCTTTAATTATGGCTCTCTTGACATTTTAAAAAAATGCTTGGAATGTGTTTATCATTCGCTAGCTTTATGGCTATTTGGGGTATAAGAAGTGTGATTAGAATACTTTAGTGTTTTAAGAGAGAATTTAGCTATAGGCAAGCATATACATGAAAGTTGTGGTAGGCATTTTAAAAAACGATGTGCTTATTTTTATTTTATGTGTGAGTGAATGGTTTACATATATGTCTGTGTACCACATGCATGTCTGGTGTCTTTGAGCCTAGAAGAGGGTGTCAGATCCCCTGAATCTGGAGTTATAGGCAGTTGTGAGCCACCATGTGAGTGTTAGGAATGGAACCCAGGTCGTGTGGAAGAACAGCCAGGGCTCTTAACTAATGAACCATCTCTCCAACCCAATGATAGGCTTTTTTTTTTTTTTGAAGAGTTAAATGGAGTTTGAAAGAGCAATGGATTTGAGCTACAAAAGCATGCCTCATTTCCATTCCTAAATGAGAGAAACATATTTTAAAAATGATATTATTTTAAATTATGTATATATGCATGTGACTATTGTGGGTATGTGCACCTGAGTGCAGGTGCTGGTAGAGGCCTGAAGAGGGCATCAGATCCCCTGAAGGTGGAGTTAGCAATGCTTATGAACAACATCCTGGGCACCAAATTTGGGTCCTCTAGAAGGACAATTGAAAATACTAAATTTTCTTAGTACTGTAAGAGAAATTTGAACAAAACCAGGTTCTGGGTGCTGAGCCCCACTGTTACACTGACCTCTTGGATCAAGACTGTCTCTTTTCCTTTACGCTCTCTTTGCAGGGACCTTCCTTTCCTCCGTTGTCTGAGTATGCACCACCACCAAATCCAAACTCCGACCATCTAGTGGCTGCCAATCCCTTCGATGACAATTACAACACCCTTTCCTACAAACCCCTGCCTTCGTCCAATCCCTATCTCAGCCCTGGTTATCCTGGCTTTGGAGGCTACAGCACGTTCAGAATGCCACCCCACGTCGCCCCAAGAATGGCTTCCCCCTACTGTGGTCCTTACTCACTCAGGAATCAACCCCACCCATTTCCCCAGCATCCCCTGGGCATGGGCTTTAACCGGCCGCACGCTTTTAACTTGGGGCCGCCCGAGAATCCGAGTTTTGGAAACCCACCGTACAATAACGTGCTGACGCAGGACATTAACATGCCTGGTCAGCCTTTCAGACAAAGTTCTGCTGAGAACTTCAGTCCGATTCCCCCGCAGAATGCTGGCCAGGTGTCTAACCCTGACCTGCCATCCAATTTTGTACCTGGAAACAATTCAAATTTTACCTCACCGTTAGAATCCAATCATTCTTTTATTCCGCCCCCAAACGCGTTTGGTCAGGCAAAAGCGCCACCTCCCAAGCAAGACTTTCCTCAAGGGGCAACCAAAACCGCGAATCAGAGTTCCTCTGCTCACCCCCCTCACTTAAACATGGAGGACACGGTCAATCCGAGTAACGCTGAGTTGAAAAGTGTCAACAGGAACAGTGCCGTCCAAGAGAACAGCCGTTCGGGTAGTGCAGAGGCCACCAACAGCCATGCCAATGGGACCCAGAACAAGCCGCGGCAGCCCCGGGGCGCAGCCGAGCTGTGCGCGCCCGACAAAAGCCGCAAGTTCGCCCTGCACCCCGGCCGCCACGGCCATTCGTCCTCTGACCCGGTGTACCCGTGTGGGATCTGTACCAACGAAGTGAACGACGATCAGGACGCCATCCTGTGCGAGGCCTCCTGTCAGAAGTGGTTCCATCGCGTCTGCACCGGCATGACGGAGACGGCCTACGGGCTCCTGACGGCCGAGGCCTCTGCAGTGTGGGGCTGCGACGCGTGCATGGCTGACAAGGACGTCCAGCTGATGCGCACCCGAGAGGCCTTCGGCCCGCCCGCCGTGGGCGGTGATGCCTAACCACGGCCCTCCCCGAACCCGGGTTCGTTCTCTCCGTGCAGAACAGAGATTTGGTGACATAGGAGTTTCATGTTTGACATTTTTGTGAAATGGCACATACAAAAAAATATTACATTTTAGTTCTTACTAACATTTCGATTCATCCTGTTGTGTTGTCTTTAATGAGATGGATGTGTGGGGGGTGCTGTAGAGACACTTATAAATAAATGTTCATTGTTATTTATCATAAACATAAAAGCCTCTTGAAGCTTCAAAATAATATATGACAAAGGTAGGCAAGTTTTAACTTTTAAAAGTCAGTCATTTAAAGAAAAATGTCTATTTCAGTGCTAAATTTTGACCATAAGACAGTACACATTTAGTTCAAGAGTAGATTGATTTAACATGTTACCTGAATACAATCTGTGTAGTGATAATTGGGGGTGGGGAATGTGTATGTGTAATGGATCTTAATGTCCTTTTTTTAAAATTTTAATGTTAGAATTGACACCTGATCCTTCCTCTGCTAGGGTCTTTGAAATCTGTGAGTTTCATTGTTCAAATCAGTCTTTCCAGGATGTCTGTGTAGGTACAGGACAGACGTGGATCATAGGATAGAGTCTATTCCCAGTAGTGTTTGCTAGTTAACTGGTTGGGTGTACCTTGTGACATTGCTAATATCCGCTTACTGACTTTAGTGAAGTTGGCGTAACATGTTTCCAAGTGTGTCGTTCAGAACTAATGCTGGCATTATGCGCTCAGTTTCTAACGTACTTGTTTTTTTGTTAGTGCTCTCCATATGATAATGCCGTGTCTCCGGACTTGCGAACTCTCTCTTCTACATGTTTTTAGCTGGGACAGACGGCACAGAGAGAAGCACCAGTGTGGTCTGACAGTGCTCTGTGCTCTGCTGCACAAAGAGCCAAGCAGTGGAGGCTGGAGGAATGTTCTGGAGATCTGACCTTGCAAAATGAACCTAAGGGAAGTTCAAAATCCACTTTCAGTAAAGGCAGTGAAGAGCCAAGGCCAGAACTTACTTGGGGCTGTACTTCAGGCTTTGTGGTGTCTGCTGTAACTGGGGACAGGTGAAAATGCACCCGAGAGGACCTTCCCTCTAGAGCAATGCTCTGAGATCCGAAATGACACACAGGTATTTTAGGAGCAGATCTTAACCTGGGGCCAGAATAAGCAAATGGTCTGTATGACAGTAGATAGCAACTTGGACAGTGGCGGGTGTTGACAACCATCCTCAGTAATGCTGTACCATTCATTCATAACCAGTGTGACCACACAAAGTTCCGAATGTGGGACTGGCGGCCTGGCTCTGCAGACCCGTGCCCTTGCTGTGTCCTTGCAGAGGACCTAGGTTCATTTCCCAGAACCCACATTAGTCCGCTCACAACTGCATGTATCTCCAGTTCCAGGGGATCTGATGCCCTCTCCTGGCCTTTCTGGGCGCTGCACACACAAGGTGCACATCCATGACTCAGGCATGCACAGATACACATAGAATAAAAGCATCTTTAAAATACAATAAAAAACATTTAAAAATGCAAAACTTTGAATACTGTGGTGATTGATCTCAAAGGAGATAATTACTACAGTAATTACAATGACAGCCGCCACATGTTACCAAGAAACTTAAAAGTGTGTGAAGACTTTTGACGTAGGGCGGGAGAGATGGCTCAGCAGTGATGAGAACTAGCTGCCTTTCCGAAGGACCTAAGTTGGGTTCCCAGCACCCATGTAGCAGCTCACAACCATCTATAACGCCAGTCAGTTCCAGAGCATTCCACACCCTTTTCTGGCCTCTACAGCAAGCACGCATGTGGTACAGACATACATGCAGGCACAGCACCCATATGTATAAAGAGTAAATAAAGAGATGTTTTGACTTTAAAAAATCCTGTGTTAATGACCGGAGACCACATCTCGACACAGTAGGACTGCACCTCCCACGTCTCAAAGCCTTGAATCACAGCTAACTGACGTAGGCTGTGAACTTGGTCACGCATCCACGTCCCTAGACCATTATTCAATGGAAGGCTAGCTTTTCATCATTTGGGCCCATTTTCTAAGAAACAGAATCCCCCAATTAAGAAGTAGTAACTATAGGATTTGAATAATTTATGTAGATGACAAAACAGTGAGTTTTGTGAACATTAGACATTTAATACCCTGTTTGTAGAAAACGGTGTTTCTGATGTAGATTGTCAGTGACTTAAACTTTTCTAAACATACAGTGCTTTGGGGTGGGGAAAATAAAAAAATACATTAAAAAATACAATGCTTTAATTTTGACATACAAGACAGTTTCGTACAGTACAAGGTAATGCAAGGTTTTCTCCATCTGCCCTTGGGGAATCCTATAATGTATACCTTCACAGTCTTGGGAAATGAAATAACAATGAGTTTTGTAATTAACGTCTCTTCTAGTGCAAATTTGAACAGCTGCAGGAGGCTAAGTTCTGGGTGGGGGCTGCCTGCCATTTGCTGGTGTTCAGAACAGTGTGCCCCCATGTTCTCAGACTGTTATTTTTGTTAGAGCTAAGTTTCTCAGTGTTTAAAGATCTGGTTTTATTTTTTTTCTTGAAATTATTTTGAGTGCTGACTTTTTAACAATTTATCTTGTGTTTTAATTATATCTGTGTGTGTACGTGTGTCTGTACGTACATGCAGTACCCATACAGGCCAGAAGAGGGCATCAGATCCTCTTCTGGAGTTACAGGCAGTTGTGAGCAGCCTGTGATGGGTACTGGAATCCAAACTCTGGTCCTCTGCAAAAGCAGTACACATGCTTAACCTCTGAGCCGTCTCTAGCCTCATGAGGCCTGGCCTTTGAGAAATTGTATACTTCATACTGGGTGCTCATCCCTAGCATTAGGTCCTGACTGTGACTGAATGGAACAAGATGGCTGGTACTCTCAGGACTTCACACTTTATTGTGGTAATATTGATTTGGTTATTGTTAAAAATGGGTTATGTAGGTCTATAAGCCCTTTAGTGCTGATGGTTTCAGTGGTTAGCTGTCTTTGAGAAAATGAAATGACCTCTCCAAATCAAGTCTAGGGACGTGTGATTTCTAAGGTGAATATTTCACTTTATTTCTAAGTTGTTGCTTTAAAAAAATAACCACAGATGACTTGCAAGTGCTTTGCATTTTCCAAACACATAGTAAGAATCTGTAAATACAGGAAAAACCAGCTGGTGCACACCTGTAACTCCAACACTTGGGAGGCAGAGGCAGGTAGATCTCTCTAAGTTTGAGGCCAGCCTGGTCCAAAGAGTGAGTTCCAGGGCAGCCAGGGCTACACAAAGAAACCCTGTCTAGAAAAACAAAAACAAAAACAAGAAAGGAAAGAAAAACAACTAGAGGCAGAGACAGGAGGATCTCTGTGAGTTCCAGGATAGCCAGGACTACATATTGAGATTCTATCTTAAAAAGAAAAAGAAAAAAAAAGAAAAAAGAAAAGAAAGCCCTACATTGTTTCAGCCATGAGTGGTGGACAAGCTGTAATCATAACTGATGAATTCACAGGTTTGAATTAATTTTTATGCTAGTTCCATATCTGTCTCTACAAAATACTAAGTCAAAATTTATAAAATTTATATAGATGCTTTTGGTGATGAATTAGGTCCAGCAGTGGTGACGAACGCCTTTAATCCCAGTACTCGGGAGGCAGAACCAGGAGGATCTCCGTGAATTTGTGGCCAGCCTGGTCTACAGAGCAAATTCCAGGACAGTCAGTCAATGCTACACAGAGAAACCCTGTCTCAAAAAGCCAAAAAAAAAAAAAAAAGAAAGAAAGAAAGAAAGAAAGAAAGAAAGAAAGAAAAAAGAAAAATGATGAACTATGACATGACCCAAGAAATTTTATTTCATTTTACCCACAGATGTCTGTTAACACAGATTGATGTGGCTTTCTTAGGAAAGTGGTAGAGGGCTCCCAATATACCTGAGATGAAGAAGTACAGGTAGAATTGTGTTTTCTAGTATAATCCTTTTTTTTTCTTCACCGAAAGGCTTCCTCTCCTGCACACACCACTCAGTTCCACATCTTCATGCTCACTGTCAACACTGTGGCTCGCTCAACAAGGCCAGGTTACGGAGGAAGTTTTAAAGCATCAGTTCTGGGGCTGGAGGTATGACTCAGGGGTCAGGAGCACTTACTGCTCTAGAGGACCCCCCACTTCTGTTCCCAGCACCCAAGCATCTGTAACTCCAGTCATGGGGGAATCTGATACCCTCTTCTGGCCACCGCGGGTAGAGCATGTGTGTGTGAGACTTTTGAGCCACCATATGGATTATGGGAATTGAACCCGGGTCCTCTGGAAGAGCAGCCAGTGCTCTTAACCACTGAGCCATCTCTCCAGCGCTGTGTGTGGATTTTGAAACATGGAGCACACACACACAAATAATAATGATAAACCTTTAAAAAAAAAAAGCGTTAGCTCTTTTCTGACAGGTTCCCTTACTTGTCCACATGCTTCAGATATCCCAGGGTACACAAATAATGAAGCAACCGAGCTTCAGAAAAGAAACCTGGCTCCAAATAGAGTGCTTAGAATAAGACCTGTGGCCAGTGTCTGCCTCTGGGGTGGCACAGTACTGCTCTTGTGGTCCTTGTGACCCCAACTGGAAGGCTGCATACGGGCAGGAAATGGCTTTCCTGCACAGGTGTTTACTCTATGTAAGTAAGCAGAATACAATGACAGTCCGGTTTTGAGTTTTGCTTTCTTTTGTTTTTCAGACATCCAACTGTGCCTAGTGATAGGAAAAACTCTTAATATTGGTCACCATGCAATCTGATGACATCATCCTAAAACAGTACCAAGCATCTTCATCTAATATTCTTTCAAACTTGAGCAAATTAGCATGCCAGCATTTCTCCCACACTCGGGCTGTGAGAACACTAAGCAGATGTGCAAGCAGCCGTTTTTAAAGGGGCTACTAAAGTGTGTAGAACTTCTTTTTTGTAATGTAGAGAGGTTTTGTGTGCATGGACATTTGTGTTGTCTTAGGCTTTTCTAATTCAAAAAAATGAAAATCACCCAGAATCACTGAGCTCATTTGTAAATAATAGTTGGGAAATCGATAGGAGATAGTTTGATTCCTAGGGAAGCTTGGGAGGGAGAAGCAGTGGCCTTCTGTCCTTCCCGTGTGGTTAGGGAAGGCTAAGTTCACCAGTGTGGCTGGTTCTCAGTTGCCCTCTTAGCATCTGCTGTAGAAGCAGGCTTGTCTTTTTACCTCCAGGATGCTCCAACTTGCCCATCTTTCCTCTGACCAGAAGTTGCTTTGTGAGCTGGGGATGTGGCGCAGTTAGTAGAGCGCTTGCCTAGCATTCATGAAATCCAGGTTCCCTCCCCAGGACCACACAAAAACAGGACATGGTGGCACCACCTGAAATCCCAGCACTTGGGAGGTGGAGGCAGGAGGACCAGAAGCTCAAGGTCATCCTCAGCTATAGCAACCAGCCTGGGGCACATAAGACTATCTCAAAAGAAAAGAAAATAACTTCCTTGTGTGGTGTTGGGCGGCTCGATTTTAAGAGAAGATCATTTCTTCCTGAGCTAGATGGAGAGAGTGGAGAATGTGACATGGCATTGGCTTTTGTAAAGCGTCTTCAGAGCAGAAGGACCTCTAACGTTTCAGACGGCCGAATCCCAGGCCCCACAGGAAGCAGTGCTTTTTGCGAATCAGCTGCCCGTGTCTTCGGACTACTTCCTTCAGAAAAGTCTGGACTTTCGCAGCTTTGCTGAGCTCAGAGGTTCCCTTCTCATCCTCAAATTTCAACAACTTCCTCTTCCTGTCTTCTCCACTTACTCGGGAGAGCAGTACAAAATCATGCCTGCATTTATCGATTCTTGGTAAATTCTGGGATGGGAGTTTGGAGGCACTGGAGCATGGAGGCTAGGGAGAGCCCTCCATCTCCCAGGTCAAATGGTCAAAGGGGGACAGAAGGTGGCCACATAGAAGCCAAAGCCTCAAGACATGGGGCATTGGCCTGTGTGTAATTCAAAACTCAATAAAAACTGTGGGTGGGAGACCTCACCCATGTCCTCTTTTCCCACCAACACGTAACTTGCAGTTGTAACAACACGTCTAAGTACCTGTACCTTTCTGGTTCCGTGGTAGGTGGTATTGCTTGTTAGTTAAAATGTTATCTTTTATAGAAGAGTCCTGCTCCTTATCATGATGAATGTGACTTGAACAATTGTTTCATATTAAAACTATCTCTTCCCTATGTACTGTTGACATATGCCTCTTTGGGGGATATCAGTTCAGTACTTTTATACAAACTCAAGTGCGTTCCACATTGGTGACATGTGTTCTGGCAGTAGGTTGTCCTTTTGTTCTTAGTGTGTGTCTTAAGTCATACATACACCAGTGCTGTGGTCTGTGGCAAAATTACTGTAATTCAAATTGGAAAATAAAAGGTTTTCAGACTTTGTCCAACCTTTATTTCTATGGCAAAGGAAATTACTATGTAATTCTAATTATGTCATATGCTGGTATGCTTTAAGCTACTCTATGAGGTAAGTGTTTATGGTTTAGTTAGTAAAGGCTCTGAAGTCTTTGAGGTGTGGGAGGAGTAAAGTTTGGTGTTAGCAGCTCATAGCATTCATAATACAATAAATACATCTTAAAGTTTTGACCTGTTCAGTGTGGTATCGTAAACTCATAATCCCAGTGCTTAGAACCTGAGGCTGGAGACTGGACTTAGAGACCACTCCCAGCTAGGTAGCAAGACTGTGTCAAGAAGAAAGAGTCCATCTACCTGCAGGGAGTATTTCTGAGGAATTCTCTTAGCTGACATCCACTGATGACTCACAACTGTACTATAATCAAATTAATGGCACCAATCTTTATTAATTAAAAACTTATTGAAGCAATTAAGACAATTATTAAGATAGCAAAACTCCTCTCATTTGCTTAGACTTGGTGACCATGTTAAAGAACATGGATGTTACTTAGTTTATAACTGTCTGATGATAGAATTTGATAATGAAAGTCATAATCATGATTTTAAAAAATTTTACCAGGAAAGCACGTTTTCATTTTTTATTTTCAAGGTGCTTATTTAAGAACACTAGTTTTAAAACATTCTTGGCTGGAACTGGAGTGATGGCTCAGTCCTTGAGAATGCTTGCTGCTCTTTGTAGGGAACTCAAGTTCAGTTCCCAGGAGCCAAGTCAGGCAGCTCACAATCTCCTGTAATTCCAGTTCCAGGGAATTCAAAACCCTCTTCTGGCCTCTGCAGACATCTGCACACACACAAAGATGCATAACATAAATAAATGAATATTTTTAAAAAGTCTTTATCATTAAAATTAGTACCCAAAGAGGTTGTAGTAAGTAATATTTGGACATTGCAAATTTGCATATTTTAAATTATATGCTTAAAGTAAAAGCAAATGCTGATGTATGCTTAAGTTATATATCTTTCTAAAATTTCCCATTTAGACTTTATCAATCAGAACTGCTCTGATGGAGAAAGAATTTCCTATACCAGTGAATATTTTTCCAAGTGAGTGTGTACCCAGGTTATGTTCATGCTTCTGAGGTTGCATCAGAGCTCGGTATGCTGGTCATGGTATATCCTGTATTTTTTATTGTACAGAAATAACTTACCCAGTCTCAAAGGCACTACACGGTGCCAGGATTCCATTCTATCTTATGTGAGTGTCCATATTTTCATAGGCCTATTTTTTTGTGTTAAAAAGTTTAGTACCACATCTTAGGAGTTTATTTTGGTTTAACATTTGACAAATAGTCTTTTTCTATTTCTATTTAAATCAGAGTTTTAAGGAAGTACTACTATGAATTAATAAAGTGTTCAGGGCGGGGCGTGATGGCACAAACCTTTTATCTCAACACTGGGAAACAGGCAGGACAATCTCTGCAAATTTGAGGCCAGCCTGGTCTTCGTAATGAGTTCCAGGCCAGCCAGCTCCGCACAGGGAGACCCAGTCTCAAAATAACAATATAATAACAACAACAAACTAATGTAGTAACTAGTGGATCATCCCAAATTATTATCTTTGCATGGTTTACACACAGGTTACACTTCTCACAGAAACTGAAACTAGCTTGGTAACTGATAGCATTGGGTCAAATGTGGATAGTTTAAAAGGCGTTGAAGTGTTAAATCGATTACATTCTCAGCTATGAATCTCTCTCCTCAGAGATACTAAACGTGTAGTTCCTCCCCACAGTGCTGGAGTTTAACACTGAACATGTCTTCCACACATTAGTGTCTTTTTCCGAAGTCAGAAGACAAGCAGAGATTCTGTTTTCCCATCCGTCCCTGTCCTTGTCATTGTTGTTTCCAGGGAGACGTTTGAGTCGTGTGTGCCCTGTGAGGACCGTCAGCCTGTGGACTCCGTTCTGGAAACGATGGATGCAGGCTTTCTTGAATGATAACTTGTAAGCTTGTCTCCTCTGGTGTTACTCTACTTCAGTATCCTTTAAATAAAGCTAGTTTTTAAGGAGAAGGCCTGGTTATTGTAAGTGTTTGAACTTTCTCTCTCATTAGGAGGGGTAGGTGTGACTGCACTGGCTTTGGGTGAAATAGAGCCAACAGAAGGCTAAGCGAAGCTCTGGCCTGGAATGTGCCAGAAGTGTTTATGCTGATGGAACAAATCCTTCTGGTCCTGATGTATGTACACACACACAGACACACACAGACACACAGACACACAGACACACAGACACACAGACACACAGACACACACACACACACACACACACACACACACACACACACCCTGTGTGCCAGGAGTGTTTATGCTGATGGAACAGATCCTTCTGGTCCTGATGTATACACACACACACACACACACACACACACACACACACACACACACACACCAGATGTGGAGTCAAAGGTTAAATCTGTGCAACTTTAACATTGTAATACAGAAGATACAACTAAATACTCACCTTGCAGGGGAGACACCATGATCAAGAAGGTAGTTTGGGGCAAGGGTAGGGTGGTGGGGTGGGGAGGGACTAAAGTGATGGGTAAGAGTACTAGCTGCTCTTCCAAAGGTTGGAGTTAAGTCCCAGCACCCACTGGGCAACTCACCATGTTCTCCAGTCCCAGGGGATCTGATGCCCTCTTCTGGCTTCTCTGGGCACTGCATGAACATGGTACATGGACATAACAGGCAAAAAAACCAAAACCAAAACCAAAACCAAAAAAAAAAACAAAAACAAAAAATGCCCAAACTTGTATAAAATGCATACATTTTAAAATAAACTACTTAGTGGTCATGGTGGCATTCACTTTTAATCCCAGCACTTGGGATGCAGAGGAAAAGGCATGCAGATCTCTTGTGAGTTCAAGGCCAGCCTGGTCCAGGACTCCAAACAGATGTCATATCTTTTGCTTTAAAATTTAAAAATTTAGCATTAGTGAATAGGTTGTGGGGTCACATAAGTATAATCCCAGCACTGGGGAGGGTGAGAGGTTGAGACAGGAGGACTGAGTTGAAGGCCAGCCTGGGCTACATATCGAGGGGGTGGGGTGGGGAGAGATATCAGCAGATCAGTAGCCAGGGCTATCTATATCTAGCAAGTTCTAGATCAGCCTGGGCTACATGGTGACACATGTCTCCAAAATGAATGAATAGTATTTTTCCTTAAGAAGCTTTCTTTTATATATTTTGTTATATGTGTAGAGGTCAGAGAACAATTTACAGAGTTGGTTCTCTCCCTTGACCATGTGGGTCCTGGGGCTTGAACTCAGGTTCTCAGGCTTGGCAGCAAGCTCCTTTACCTGGACCCTTTTTTTTTGGTCTTTTGAGACAGGGTTTCTCTGTGTAGCTTTGTGGCTGTCCTGGATCTCACTCTGTAGACCAGTCTGGCCTTGAACTCACAGAGATCCACCTGCCTCTGCCTCCCGAGTGCTGGGATTAAAGGTGTGCGCCACCGCTGCCCGGCTTGACTTTCTTTTTTCAATCATCCATCTAGTGTATAGTGACAATTCACTTGTTTCTATTGTTATATAATATCCTGTTGTGTTTATATACTTGAGAAACATTTGGATGCTTTCAAGGTTTAAAATTTTAGATTTACTTTATGTGTGAGTGTTTTGCCTGGTGGGTGTCTTTGCATTGGCATGCATTGCCCTTAGAGGCCAGAAGAGGGCGTCAGATCTCCTGGAATTGGAGTTACAGACATGAGCTGCCTTGTGGGTGCTAGGAATTGAGCCTGGATCCTCTGCAGAGCAGCAAGTGCTCCTGACTTGTGAGCATCATCTCTACAGCCCTTATCAAGGGCATTTTTTCACATAAGGATCTTATCATCTGCCTCAGAGAAGACTGGGTTGTAGAGCGTGAGGGAGTCTTTCTTACAATTCCTTCAGCTTAAGCTAGGCTGGGGTGGCGTGGTGCAGGCTTTTAATTCCAGCACTTGGGAGGCGGAGGCAGGTGAATGTCTGAGTTCGAGGCCATCCTGGTCTACAGAGAGTTCCAGGACAGCCAGGGCTACACAGAGAAACCCTGTCTAGAAAAACTAAAAATATATTAGAAAAAAAAAAAGTTCCTTCAACTTAAAATATTCAACATGCTAAGGAATCCCTTTTGGTATGGCATGACATAGGATGGTCAGTGGGGATTACTTTCGATTTTTGAAAGTACTGAACCTATTTGTGATGGAAACAGCTTCTAAACTAGAAACATCATCACGTTGCTTTACGTTTTGAGACAAGAGTTTGTGTTTATCAGGGTAGTCACCACCTGAAGTCTCCAGCCTCAGCCTCCCCAAGTGCTAAGATTACAGGCCACCACCCTGCTAATGTCCAGCAAATGTTGAGAGCAAACCAAACGTCCTGGGTGTCACAATGCACACATGCCAGCTCTGCTGATCCATAGCCCTCCGCATTCTAAAGCCCCAAGCTTCTTCCTTTCCAGAGCCGGGAATCCCAAGGCCAGCCCGGCCTCTCCCAGGGTGCCACATCACAGCTTCTCTTGTCCCTTAACAAACACTCACTTTGAAATGATTTTTTGTTTAAATCACCTGTGTTAGCGTCTGAGCTAAAGGCGCGTGTGAGCAGCCCAACACGGGAGCTTGGGAACCGAACTCGGACCCTCTGAAGCAGCGCATCCTCCTGACCCCCGAACCATCTCATCTCCGTCTTAAGGGCATGCCCCGCTCTACTTCTTCCTCATTCTCTCAGGCTGAGGATGCAGCCGGGACCCAGCTGCTGCAGCCCCAAGAACGACCAGGAGCGCACGAGGCACGCCGGGGAGCCTCGTGCCCCGCGGGACCCCTGACCCGGAAGGACCCGGCAGCGCCCGAAGGGCCGGAAGTGGTGGCAGCCCCGCGAGCCCTGCTTTCCTAGCAACCGGGCCGGCCTCTTAGCGACGGAAGGTGGCTCCCGCGTCCCCGGTCCCGCCATGCCGGTGCGGGTGAGCGAGTTCACCTGGCAGCAGACGCCGGCCGCGGTCTTCCTGTCGCTGCCCCTGCGCGGCGTGTGCGTGCGCGACGCCGACGTGTTCTGCGGGGAAAGTTACCTGAAGGTGGGCGGGGCGGGGCTGCGGTCGCCGCGGGAGCGGGGGCCGCCCGGGCGGAGTTCTGCGCCGTGTCCATGGCGTTTCCTTTTCCGTGTTTTATTAGTGTTTTTTTTTTTTTTTTTTTTTTTTTTTTTCCCCCGAGACGGGGTTTCTCTCTGTAGTTTTGGAGCCTGCCCTTGAACTCGCGCTGTAGACCAGGCTGGCCTCGAACTCACGGAGATCGTCCTGTCTGTGGCTCCCGAGTGCTGGGATTAAAGGCGTGCGCCACCACTGCCTGACTGTTTTATTAATCCTTCTTTTTTTAATTTTAATTTTAATTTTTTTAAAAGATTTTATTTATTTATCATGTATACAGTGAGTGTTCAGCCTGCAGGCCAGAAGAGGGCACCAGATCTCACCGTAGATGGTTGTGAGCCGCCATGTGGTTGCTGGGAATTGAACTCAGGACCTCTGGAAGAACAGCCAGTGTTCTTAACCTCTGAGCCTTCTCTCCAGCCCCCTGTTTTATTAAGTCTTAATTTACGTTTTTTACTTTTAATTATTTTTTTTTGTGATGCTAAGGATCAAACCCAAACCCAGCCTCCTGTGTATGCTACACCACTGAGCTACATTTCCAGCTATTATATGTATTGTGTGTGTGTGTGTGTGTGTGTGTGTGTGTGTGTGTGTGTGTATATATAAAATGTGTATGAATGTTTACACGTATGTGTGTGCACCAGGTGTACGCAGTGCCTGTGAAGGCCAGAAGAGGGCGTCAGATCTCTTGGAATAGGAGTTTCAGATAGTTATGGACCACGATGTGGGTGCTGGGAACCAAACCCCAGCCCTAAGAGCAGCATATGCTCTTGGCCACCGAGCCATCTCTCCAGTCCCAATGGCTTATGGGGGGGGAGGTGTGTCTTACTCTGTAGCCCTCACTGACCTCGAGTTGTAGGCGACCCTCTTGTCTCAGACTTCTAAGAGCTGGGATTGGTGGGATGCTTCACCTTCCCTGGCTAGACCTCAATTTAAAGTCCTCTTTTAAAAAGCAAATCTAGGCCTGGTGGTGGTGGCACACACCTTTAATCCCAGCACTTGGGAGGCAAAGGCAGGCGGATCCCTATGAGTTTGAGGCCAGCCTGCTTTATAGAGCGAGTTCTAGCCAAGGCTACACAGAGAAACCCTTTCTCAACAACAAAACAAAACAAAACAAAAAATCAATATTTGCAAATAAATAACACACGTAGGGCTGGTGACATGGGTCAATGTGTTAATGCACTGCCACCAAGCCTGACAACCTCGGTTCAGTCCCCAAGAGGGAGAGAACCAACTTCTCACACTTCTCTGACTTCCTTGTGCATGCCGTGGTACTCATACACCCACATCCATGCACAGAAAATGTCATGAAAGCAACAATAAAGACAAACCTCTTGGAGTGTGGTGTCATCTACAGACACATTCAGGTTAGAGATTGCTTTCATCCATTGCTTCCTCACATACCCACATACACTTTGCTACTTATGCTACCTGGAATAAATTCAGTGGGGTTTTCAGAAAACCACACCCCCAAACACATAGGGACTGGTATAGTCCAGGTTGGCCTCAAACTCATTTTGTAGCTGAGGAGGACCCAAAAAGTTTGAGCTTCCTGCTTCTACCCCTGAGTACCCAGATTCAACACCATGCTGGGAGTTATATTCCCACTATAACATTTTTTTTTCCGGAATAAATAATTGTAAATTTTTTAAAGTTTTTTTGTTTTTTAAGATTTTATTTATTATGTATACAGTGTTCTGTGTGTACGCCTGCAGGCCAGAAGAGGGCACCAGATCTCATTACAGATGGTTGTGAGCCATCCCATGTGGGTGCTGAGAATTGAACTCAGGACCTCTGGAAGAACAGCCAGTTCTTAACCTCTGAGCCATCTCTCCAACCCATAATTGTAAATTTTTAATTTATTTTATTTTATGTGTATGGCTGTTTTGCCTGTGTGTGTGTGTGTGTGTGTGTGTGTGTGTGTGTGTGTGTGTGTGTACATGTACCATATGCTTGTCTGATGCTCAGAAGAGGATGTCAGATCTCCTGGAACTGGAGTTACAGATGGATGTTAGTCTGTATGTGGGTGCTGGGAACAGAACCCAGGTCCTCTCAAGAACAAGTGCTTTGCTTTTAACCACCGACCCATCTCTCCAGCCCAGACTTGTTTTTCAATGACAGTGTCTTTAATTTGTGTAACTAACTTAATGCCTGCTTTCTCTCTTGTGAACAGGTTAACTTTCCTCCATTTTTATTTGAGGTGTTTCTCTACGCTCCCATAGACGATGGGAGTAGCAGAGCCAAGATTGGGAATGACATGATTCTCTTTACATTGTATAAAAAGGAACCAGTTATGTGGGAGACCCTTTCTATGCCAAGTGGTAAGTTTTGTAGTGAAAGTTGTTCGCTTGAGCTAGGTGTCTTTCATGAGAGCTCACTCTGTCCCTGAAATCCAAGCGCCGGGGAAGCCAGACTACAGGAAACCTTGACTCAAAAAAAAAAAAAAAAAGCTTTTACTCTGGGCATTATGGTGACCCTGGGTGGTGCATGCTTGCCCTCTTGGCTCCTCTTTGTTGTTTCTTGTTTTCTCTTTTAGAGACAGGGTTTCACTGGGTAGCCTAGACTGTTCTGGAACTCACTCTGTAGACCTGTCTGGCCTCATAGAGATCCACGTGCCCCTGCCTCCCTAGTGCTGGGATTAAAGGTGTGCGCCAGCACTACCCGGCTGCACTCTCAGCTCTTTAAGAGGGCAACATAAGAAGATCACAATTGTAAAACCACCCTGGGCCGTATCAAAGATTCTGTCTCAACAACATTTTTTCACTTCTTATGAAATGGGATCTAAAGGAATCTTATCCTGGGTCAGTATGGTGAGTGCTTTTCACCTCAATAAAACAAATTAATCATAACCCTGATTTATTACTTTTCCCTGTGTTGCAGTTGACAAAGAGATGATGCAGAGAATAAGAGAAAAATCTATTCTGCAAGCACAGGAGAAAGCAAAAGAGGCCACAGAAGCAAAATCTGCTGCCAAGCGGGAGGATCAGAGATACGCGCTAGGTGTGATGATGAAGGTAAGCTGCAGACCTCCAGGGGACTCGCCGATGGAGAGGACAGTGAGCTGGGAAAAGAAGAGACGTTCAGTCAGGTGTGAGGGTGCAGGCCACCCAGCTACTCAGGATGGTTAACCAGGAGGATCAGAAGTTCAAGCCGACAACAGCTGTGGTGGTGTAAGCCTTTAATCCCAGCACTCAGGAGGCAGAGGCAGGCGGATCTCTGTGAGTTCGAGGCCAGCCTGGTCTCCAAAGCGAGTTCCAGGACAACCAGAGCTACACAGAGAAACCCAGTCTTGAAAAACAAAACAAAAAAGACAGACAGGCAGAAAGAAAGAACGGGTGTATAGTTCAATGGCAGAGGGCTTGGCTAGCATGCTTGCAGCCCTGGGTTGAACCCTCGGTCCCGACCCCCACCCCACTTTTGCCATCTCAGTCCTTCCTTGATGTTTGGTCGTAGGGGCTTACTTTGTTATGTGGACCACTGATTCTTTTGTTCCTTCCCCTTTGTAAACTGTGAATTAAGACCCTATATGGAATTACTCACTTAAATGTGGAGGATGGAAAAAACTTGGCAACAGCAGGGCCTGTGAAACAGCTCGGAAGGTAAAGGCACATGCCACCAAGCCCGACCACAGGAGTTTGATTCCTGGGACCCACGGATGGCAAGAAGTTATGAGTAGGAAGATTAAGAAGCTGACCGAGGTGGCACATCTCTTTAATCCCAGCACTCAGGAGGCAGAGCCAGGAGGATCTCTGTAGGTTCAAGGCCAGGCTGTTCTACATAGAGTGAGTTTCAGGACAGTCAGGATCACATAGACCTCTTCTCCCCAACTTCTGATTCTAGACAAATGCTAATCTTCTGTCTCTGTTTAAGCAATTCTGTCCAGTTTCCAAATATTTTGCTCTCTTTAATTCTCATTTTGGCATCTGGAAATGGTTACGGATTGTACAAATAAGCTCTGTTCTATGAAGAACATCATGGAGGGTGCTGGGACTGGGAGTGTGTGGTGGGAGGGCTGGGGACACAGCTGGGGACTGCGGGGTGAGGATAGCCCACTCCTTACACGTTTCTTCTCTGCACTGTGTTTGCTGAGCAAAACGAAGGCATGCTTGTAGTCGAACTTTCCACCAGCTCACAAATAACAACACAGAGACTTACTAATTATGGCAGCTTGGCCTTAGCTTAGGCTTTTTCCAACTAGCTCTTGTAACTTAAATTAACCTGTCTCTGTTAATCTACATTCTGCCGCATGGCTCAGTTACCTCTGTTCTGTTATATCCAACTTCTTCAGAGTCTCTGGTGAAATCTGTGTGCCTAGATTCCCCCTCTTCTTCCTCTCTCTTCCCGGAAATCCCACCTATCCTCTCCTGCCTAGCAATTGGCCATTCAGCTCTTTATTAAACCAATCAGAAGGCGCCTTAGTTAGAGACACATCTTTATAGTGTACACAAATATTCCACAACACATGCTTGTTATTAAATGGAGCAAATTGTTATCTTTCAGATTGTGGTACCTTCTCTGACATCATCGTGCCCTTCTGTGAGG